AAAAGAACGAAGTTATTTACAAGTTATAAAGTAGTTGTGGGTAGTATGTGCAGGCATAAGTAACTATTTGATAAAAACAAGGCGAAAAAAAATAATCATCTAAATGCGCAATATGCTGCCAAATAGCTAAAACATCTGTATTTTACCAGTCATACTCAGTTTGTGTACATTATAAATAGTGCCCTTAGTACTTTCATTAAAGTTAGAATGTCTAAATTATTGTAAATTCTTGAATGCTTTGTTTTCCTACACCTGAATTTTAAGAATTTTCCTTCATTACAGTTAGAAATGCAGACTAGCACACATTATTAATGTAGTAGGTAGAAGGTAATTGGGAAGCTGGAGAGCTTGCTTAATTTCCAACTCTAACTATTGCTAGCAAGCTATCTGGACATCCAGTAGGTTTATCCTCAGCAAAACTAAGCATGAATTAATGAGATATATTGTCAGCTCATCCCAAGCGACATGCTGTACAGCCTGTTCTCAGCATGTTACACTATTTACTGGAGCTGAATAAAAGATTAAGGCTAATCTAGGCCGACTGATCCTTCCCTCTCATGTGAACTGACTCTCGAGGTCTGTTAGACCTTCATAGACTGAAATATGCTTTCTGTAAGTGGAAAAAAAGGTAATTAAAAAGTCAGAAGAGGTACCCTGATAAAAGGAGCACTGTTCGGTGTTTGTGGTAAAAGATAGACACAAGTTGTCCTCATTGGAGACACACTTTGCTTAAAAGTCTGAGAAATCAAGGAAAGAAATAATACAGAGCATTGGACCAGAATATACCATCTGAATCACTGGAACCATTTGCCTTTATCTGGAGTAATTTCATTCAGAACTTCCATTCAGGAAAATAAAAAATTAAGGGCTTAATAGTAGTTGGGAAGTTTGCCTCACATCCCAGCAATCTCATTCTTCTGATGTTACTGCTTGCTTTATTTTACCAATACCATCCGTCAGTTTAAGCAGTTATTTTTCTTTTTTTACCTACCTGCATATTTGCTCAACATAATATTACATCCAGAAAATGGGGAGAGAAAAACCTTGAATTTTTTAGTATTTCCTGCTAATTGGCATTCTTCATAACTAACATAATATACAGTAAGACCATCAGAATGAGGAATTCCTGGGCACTGCTGTTCAAGAACAATATTTTTATGATCAAGTTGAAGATCAGGGGCATGCCACTGATAAGAGAGAACACTATCTTTTTTCTTGCAGGTCAAAGCTGGTGTATTTCCTAGTCTGCTCTAAGATCTCCCCTGGATAAAACTGGTTGCTTATTGAAGCATCATGGTGGCTTGCTACTCTCAAAAAAAAACCCAGGGAATTTTCAGTTAAAGATAGCCTGACACTTCTTCAATACTGAAGATTTACTGCTTAATTTTTTAATTACCGGTGTGGGCATGGCTGCTCAGAGGCAGATGATGCAAAATGCTTTTTAGCTGAACTGTCTTGCAGCTTTAGAATTATCAATGTTTTTTACCTTGTCTTGTTCTGGGTTGTCAGATTCAGGAACAACACTATGATACACCTGAGAACAAGATTAACCCTTGTTTCTGCCAAATGATCTTTGCAATTTTCTGGGGGTTTTCAAATTCAAAAAATATTTAAAAAATTTATGTTGGTAAACTGTCCACTGGTTCCCAAGTGTTCAGCTTCTATGTGAAATGTAATCCAGTGAATTTAAAACTTATTTAGGCTACCAGACTTTCTTATTTTCCTCTGAAAATCATTGTCAGTATTGATTTTATGGCTAGGAGCAATAAAGTGTTTATTTAGGACGTGAATGATATTGCAGTGACTACAGTGACCCCCCTGCTATTATTGAGCTGTCAGGCTCATTAGGTGGTAGTGTTTAGCCTGCTGCCCTTTGGTAGCCGAGCATATTTCTGGATGTGAAAAAGAACAGGGGGGGGAGGATGATATTGCAGTGAGTGATGATCAGAAACAGCTGTTGTCCACATGAAAAGAAACTGTTCTTGAAATTCAAAAAGTGCAGTGCGTGAGTGAGTGAAATAGTACCAGAATCTGCAGTGATCAGGAACCTGGTATTTTCTTTTTCTTTGGTTGGTTGTTTCTTTCCCCTAACAAGTTAAATAACTTGAAATATCTTTGCTTTACCTATGTAGGTCCTTTCCTAACAATTACTGGGACAAATTTGTAAAGCGGAAGGTAGGCTTTTTATGTTTGCGTTACGTTAGTTATAGCAATAATCTGCTGTTCAGCTAATCGGGATATATGTGTATAATACTATTTGTAATATACTTCTGTACACATAAATGTACAAATAGTTGAGAACTGATACTTGTTTTATGGAAGTCATTGTTGTGGGAAATGTCTCTGTGAACAGGCAGCTGCAGTGGAGGAGGGAGGAAGACAGAAGGCTGAGGTTTCCTTCCTAGACTCAGGCATTCAAAGTAACTTTGTGCTGTCAGTCAGGCACACAGGTCTAATTTACTGTCACTGTCATCTTTAGGATACAAAGCCCCCTCATCTCCCCTGAAAAAAGAAAAACATGCCAGCTTAAATGATGGCAAATTATACATAAGCCTTCAGATAATAGCCTTTAATGCTTCTATTTTGCTTTTTTATGCTCCCCCCGCCTGGCTGCCTGGGAGTTCTGACTGTTCTAGTAGTGTTAATTGTGAGAGACTTTTTTTAAAAAAAAATTACTGACAATTACTGTGAATGTCATCAAGGCCTTTCTCTGAGCAAAAGCTCCTCTTCTTCTATTTTTAGGTTATTAACAAGTACGGAGACTTATATGGAGCAGAGCGCATTGCAGAGCTTCTGGGTTTGGACAAAAGTGCCCTTGATTTTAGTCCGGTGGAAGAGAGTGAACCAGAAGAGGCATCTCTTGTATCATGGTATGAGTTCTGAACTTCACAGACAAATTAATTACGTGTTGGCATAACTTCACTGGCAAAGATAAAAAGGGATTTTACATTGAAACTGTAGCCGTGTTTTCCTTGGCATGGAAAATTCAAGTAGAGAAGCCAGCCTAGCGTGGAAGTAAAATAAAAAAACTTTTTGCTTGTTCTCAAACATGCTTATGCTTGTCATATGAAAGTAAGAAAAAAATCAACAAGTTGATGCTGGCCGATATAGTTGGGCACTCTTTTATTTTAAACATTAACCAATGCAGCATGCAAAAATTCCTCAGGTGTTACAACAGAGTTAGTTTAGAAACCAAAGGACAGAAAAGGTATTGATAACAAATATCTAGATGCCAGGTATCTAAAAAAATTCAGAGGTGTTTTCCTGACTTAATCCATCTCAAAAGATGAGAGTTTGAAGGTATCCAAGTCCCAAATGATTTAGGCTCCTGTAAGAGTTTGGTTTCCTTGATATTTAAGGCACACAAGAAGAAGGATTTCCGTTCACATGTCATCTAATGGCTAATATCATATTTAGAACCTTGCAGAAGGCATTAGCTTTTCCCTTCATAATTTTAGCAACATTTTACACTACACAGACCACTTCTCTTGCATTCAAGCCATTCGGGTTCCACATCTCACTACTTTTAACACACATATTAATTGTATCACTCCTACTGACATTGTTCCACCAGTTTCAATGCTTTAGAAGCTGCGTCCAGGTGCTCAGAGTTAACGAATACCCTCTGAAAAATGAAGCACCTACATCACTCAAAAAATAAACAGCTAATGTCTATCACCACCTTCAGCAAACAAACATGAAGTGCCAAAGCCAGTTTGTTGTTTGTACTTAGAGGGTTCAATTCTTAAATTTGACATTGATGCATTTCAAAAATGCCGTATTTCCTAGGTTAAGCTCCATTGATACAAAGTACCACATCTGGAAGCTCGGAGTTGTTTTCACAGATAATGTGAGTATGTTAGCCTAGAAGAATATGCTTTGATTTACTCTAAACATGATTGCATGTCTTCCACCATCTGCTTTTATTTTAAACAAACGTACGCAAATAGTACTGCATTACAGAGCCATTTTAAAATAGTTCCTTCTGTCTGGTGTTGTAGCAAATTGCTTTAATTTATGTTAGAATTTTCTTTCTGATTCTAAAGGGCAACAGGCACCTTCTCACCATTACTACGCTGTCAGCATTTTGGAAGTTAATGGCACATTCATTTAATTTTGTAGAAATCAATCTAACAACCAAAGGTATCTCTTCTAAAATCAAGCACAGTCTACGGGAAGTTATCCTTTTTTATTCTTGAATCATTGGTTTGACATGGTTGGTTAATTCTTTTCTTTCATACTTTCTCCTTTGAAAGGACCACACTTATAATAAAATTCCTTTTTTGTTGTGAGTCCTCTTTTTGCATCCTCTTGAGCACTCCCAAACAAACAAGGTGGCCAAGGTGAATCAAGTGAAGATGTATAAACTCATTGTGCACTAAAAGCACACTGAGCCATTGTTCTTCAGTAAGAGCTTTCACATCAAAGAGCCTTCAGGTTCACTGCTTGTTGAATAAGCTGTGTTATGTGCCTTGGGTTTTCTGGGTGTCCTGGTGACGTGGTCTGAGACTTAAACAGAGCGAAGAGTCTCAAGAGTAACACAATGCATTTTCTCTCCTTCAGAATCAGTGTTAAAATTTAAAGCACTGCGTAACAAGCTCCCCAACAAAAACAGTTTTAAGGTAGAGTATTATGATGTTAATAACATTTGTGCTGAAGACTGCACTTAAATATGTAAAGATAGAGGTCTTATTAGAATAACGAAGCAATAAACTCTCCTTAAATGAACAGTGGGGATGATAAGAGATGGAGTAAGACAGGCTTTTTGAACACGTAAAATAGAGGTATTACGTTCAGACTGTGATTCAAATCAGATCACGACAGTGGTACTGTATTTCATAACTTGGGTGCCTAAAAGACACCTATAATCTGGATCCAGCGAAGCCCGTTAGCACCTGCTAACATCTGGCCCCTTTTCACTTTCTCTGCAGTCCTTTCTATACTTAGCTTGGTACACGACTATGTCCATCCTTGGGCACTACAACAACTTCTTCTTTGCTGCTCATCTGCTGGACATTGCTATGGGTTTCAAGACACTGCGAACCATTTTGTCTTCAGTCACTCACAATGGCAAACAGGTTAGTGCTGCACGCCAAGGTTTGAAAATGAATGCATTTTGTAACGGTACTGGAAAAAATCTTGAGGTACCTAGGAAATGTTGGAATGTGATCCATTTTGATCATGGTTGGATTAAAAAAATAGATCCTAGTGAGTCTTCTGCAGCACATTTAATACATGTTAAATCCTATGAAATCATAATAATCTATACCCACAGAGTGCTGATAGCTAAAGGAGTTTTGTACACAGTAGAAAAATGCAAGAATATGAATTATGACCTAACCAGCTCCTCCTCTGTGCTCAGTGCTGAGCTGACTGGTGATAACTACTAAGAGTTC